GGAGCCAGAAAAAAAAGATGTATCCAATCAAACTGCTCATTTCAACCTCCACAGAAAAGCTAGCTGACCGAACTATTATTGTTCATAACTCCATGCAAGGTGGGTTTTATAATATTGCAATATTATCCAATAGATAAATATCTTTAACTATTGTGCAGGTGAGACCAAACGATTTCAGGGAAATCGAACCAAGGAAAGGCCTGACTATACTATAAACTGAGTGAGTATTTCTTTATGAACCAACTATCTGGTTCTGATATAGGTACCTACTTGATCTTTTCTGAATTTCTGTTTCAGGCATCACCTACCCCGGCCGCAGGAATGGGATATTGAGCTACCAAGTGTGATGCATATCAATAAATACTTTGTGGCCAGCTGATTTGTAACCGATTCACCCTCTAATTCAGTGCTTGGGTTGCTTCACTGAGGATATTGCAAAATGAAACCGTAACACTATATCAGAATGACATCATCTAGCATCGCTCTCCTAGCACATCTGAAGAAGCGTGATATTCTTAGGAAAAACGTTCAGATACTGTTGTTTAATATGGAGTGAATAAAGAAGTATCTGTATTTTGTTAATTATGTTGTATGTATACTAACTCATCAGGGCTCTTCAGCTCATAAACGATGATGTGTAGTTGTTGTTACTAACACCATATGTCACCTTAAGAACAACGCTCTGCTGAAAACGCATTACCTATCCGGGTCTTGAGTCACTTTATAATTCCTACTGGTGAGCAACATGACATTGAGTTTTATATAGACGAAATAGATGTCACCAAGTTCCTGGAAGCCAACTAGAGACTAGTGCCCATCGAGTGGCTTCGTTAAAAGATTAAACGTTTTTGTGCTTATTATCACATTTTGTGAATTATCTATGTTCCGATACGCCATTTGAACGTTGATTCGTCATAAGCGTGAAAAACGTGACGTTTTTGACGTTATTAACGTTTATGTCGTTTTTGACGTTTTCGACGTTTTTGTCTGATATTTCAAGTTGTATTTCGACATATTTTGTGCAGGTTGGGTGCACAGGAAAACATCAACTCGAGTATATAGATGGAATTATTCGTCTTTGGTTTCTCTTTATAGAGTACTGGTAGACGTCCATTGTAATTTCGCATCGCTCCCCACGATAATTGATTGCAATAAAGTCATCGACAGATAAAACATTTACACAATACGTTATTCGAAATGGTTGTCAGTACTATATATGCCATCCTTGACATTTTGTGGCTGGCTGTGTCGTACTATTCTTTTAAGGATATTGTTATGCTGATTTGAAATTCCCATATCATCCTCAGAAAAAAGTAATCGAGGTTGTGGTGATGGTAGTGGTGAGGATGGCTCTGCATGTGTAAAACCATTTTTGGACATTGCATCCTTGTCTCACATAGACATACGCTATTGGGTAGGTGAGTGTCGGTAGAATGTAAGTATTTTACATATCTGCCACCTATGAAACGTTTTTCATACACCCTGTATAGTTTGCCTCTGGAGTTCTTTATCACCAGATGGTTTGAGTTGGTGACGTCATCCACCAGCTATTTTCCAGGACAAAGATTGTATTGTTCTTACACAGAAGTGGGGGTATTGTTATCTTCATGAACATGGCTCATCAGCCACCTGCTGTTTTTCAGAACAAAGGAGGCATTGTTCTCACGAAGGAGGTAGATATTGTTACAAGATAAGTATGTTTCATCGTCGGCGACGTCGGATATCGCTGCTTACTCTAAAAAACGGAAAGAGGCATTGCTTCCACACTGGAAGTAGAAATTATTACAAGATAACGATAACATGGAATTTAAATGACAGCTAGAAGAGGGTTAAATACAGCAATTTCTCCACAGACAGATGTATCAGTATAAAAACGGAAATTGGAATGACATAACTGAATGACATATTTTGTAATAGTTAGTTTGATTATATTTGCTCACACACATTATTCGAATCTTATCATGATTGTTATGTATTTCTGACTCCCTTCGAGTACATTCATAAGTGGATATGTGTTCTTATTCCATCTAGCATTTTGTTGAAATATTCGCTCTTGAGTCACTTGGGTATGATATACATGTCTCCTCGACTGACGCACTCTTTCGTGCAACCAATATGCCTATCATTTTTCGGGTGAGCAACAAACACTGGTTCACTCCGTTGATCATTGATCTACTTCGATGCCTATCATTTTTCGGGTGAGCAATAAACACTGATTCACTTCGTTGATCTTCGATCTTCTTCGATCATCCTCGGCTTAGTTTATTTGATTCAACTGACTATGAAGCAGGTGTCAAATCGAGGTTGTCTCTCATCGAGTTTAATGAAATTCTCTTTATTCCCCGAAAGAATTGTGATTGTTCCTGGATGCTAGCTCAGACACATACTGTTTTTTTTTCTGTATAGTAACTTGATTCATTGATTTTTCTGAGTTGTTGATGATTTTCCGAAAGGCCCTGTATATATCCTCATTCACGAATTGTATCGAATGTAATATCAGAAGAGATGTGTTTATTATATATCGATACGTACTATCTGTCAAGTGGATTCTGTTAGACCGTGTACATTACGTGAATAGTCTACACTTTGGGGACATATTGTGATGTTTATTCTTCTGTGTTGTTCACACACTGTTTTCCTGTTACTACTGCCTGTATGTAATTTTCAAGAAAACAGATTTACTCTATGTATTATGGTGCCAGAAATGTTATTTATCGAGTAAATGTTGATCCACCCATAATACTTCAGTATTGTTATGTGTTAATTGATTTTTTGTTGCTGTAAATGCAGAGTCACACCAGTATTTCACTGATTATTCTGAAAGTCACGTTTTCTTGATATTTTCATTCACGTGTTGGACGTTTTGATACACTTCTTTCTTCCATCGAGTGAACACACGTGAATTCCAATAAATTCTTTGAGTCATCTTTCCTCGCGTTGTTTCGATTAATTCTCTCATTCTTGTCGATATCTCGCAGACTTTGATGGAAACTGATTTCAGAGTACCCAAACGATCATGTTGGTGAAAAAGAACGACGTTGTTGTTCTATGGTTCACTTCATAGTACCATTCTCCCCAAAGCATGTCCTTGTCGATGTTATTCGGAATATAAAATGAAATTGAGGATACATTTGTCAGGTTTTTCACCTGATTTCCTTCTCCACCCTGTTTATAATTTTCGACTAATATTTTTCTTCTACCAACTCTATATGTTACGTACGTCAACGTTCTACTAGATGTGAATAAGCATATATCTATTAATAGCATGGTATTACACCTCATTATAACAATTCTCATTATGTTAATAATAATGTATGATAAAATATATTTCATGTTCTATGATTCTCATAGAGGTATGGTAATAATATATTTTTTATAATGCATGAGATATCTTGAAAACCTTGAGACTTTGCAGAGAGATGTTCAATCTGATGTGCATGTAGCGTGTTTGGATGATCTTCAACATTTTTAACGTTCTCTTGGCGTTTTTGTGACGTTTTTTGTAACGTTATTACGAATCAGGTTTATTTTTTTCTAGTCATCCTGCATATGTCTTTTTCGATTTTTAACTCGACTCTGACTATTTGTATTACCCGGTATATTATGATTTTGATATCCTCATTATCATCTGTCATCTGCCATACGCCATCAGCCTTAAGTCTGTTATACCTTTTCGTTTGCTTTCGGCTACGTTTGGAGCACCGGAAATATCATTACGATATCTTCGAAATGTTATAGTGGTCTCTGATTGGTCGGCTGAGTCACGTTTTTTAACCCGGAAGGTTGAGAAGGGGGGGTGGTCTATAGATTTTTTGAGCAGTCCGTTCCGTATATGTTTATATAATAAAAAACCGTTTGCTTTCGGTGAGGTTTGAAGCACCAGGAGTATCATCAAAGGTATACATTAACTATCAAGCGTTATCTGTCATATGTCAAATGTCAATCGTATCTCTCATACGGCATATGTTATATATCGTATTCGGCGAGGATGATAGTACTGTGAGTATAATGGGACAGTATACAATATCATGAGAGCCGAACATGGCCGTTTGATTTCAGTGAGGTTAAAATCACCAAGATATGAGCTATTGAGCCAATTCGACAGGATGTAAGCATGAACCGCACTTTCGGACACACCCTGTATGCCTCTGAAGTTTTCCATTCTTGAATGGCTCGTGACGTCATCAGTCACCTGCTAACAAAATGAGTTTACAAGATTGATGATATCTCTCAGCGAGAACAAAGGAGACATTGTTGGGTGACTCTTTAGCCACCTGCGCTTGAACAATGGACCCATTGTTCTCACACAGATGAAGATGATGCAATCGGATGAGGTTGTTACGTAATCAGACACCTGCAAACTAAGGCGGCATTGTTCAATATTGCGTCGCAATTTCCCAATAGCCGGAATTCCAAGAAACGCTGTGAGTGGCGTCGAGAGAACAAAGGCGGCATTGTTCTACGGAGTCGAGATAAGGATGACTCATCGGCCACCTGCAACATGCATATCGGGTGACCTTGAAACAAAGTGCTACCAATTGTAGTAATACAAACCTAAATCTGGTGGGCAAAGTCACTAGATTGTGACGTCATCCACCACCTTTCAAAAAGAAGAAGAAGAAAAATATCCTAGAACACACCCATGAGCTCTAGAGTCCAGAGTCCCACGTGTCATCTGTCACTCCTTGTGTTCCATACTATCTGTCACCTGTCATTTGTCACTTGCCATTTGTCACTCATTGTGTTCCATGCTCCATGTCATCAAAAATGAATCTTTGCTACCAAAAAAGGAAGAGACAGTTCAAGAGGAAGAGGAAGAAAAAAAAGCTTATGGACTACCGTTCCAGAAACTTGAACGTGTTCCTAGTACGAGTGGTGGAAGTTTCGGTGATGAAGTGTTCGAAAGAGATGTAGGAGAAGATGAAGGTGATGTGAAGAGCTTTGATCCTGCAGCTATTGAGGCATATCTGGAACAATATCCTCCAATGAGCATTCCATTCATGAAAGAACATTGGACAAGCAGCGATAAAATAGACAAGATATATGGTCCTATATATGATTCAAGCAATTCAAAATGGAGGCTTGGCTACAAAGAAATCGATTTTGATGCACGTACTGGCTACATCAAAATTGATGGAAAACAAGTGAAAGGAACTCCTGGTATAAATGAGCTGATATTCTACGATGTCCCTGAAAATTACAATAAAGATGATCTGTATGGGTACAAACAAATTTTGGAACTATCAGAGGCCCATCTGAATGCAAGTGGGAAGATCAAACATAGTCCAGGATTCAAGTACAGGGAAATCGTTAGACCTTTGTTTCTGCCTCCACCACCACCACCATCAGCAGCAGCCCCATCCTCGCAAGTAAGAACACGACGTGGTACAACGGAACGAGATTTAATGATCCACCAAGATATCAAGAACAGAGAACCCATGATGAATACGTACAATACCAAGCCTGTGGAATACATCTATTGGGATGATCCCAATGAGTTGTGTGAACGTTTGAGATTGCTCATAGCATCGAAGCAGGCTGGAAATACTTCTCACGACAATGAGATTGTATCCATTATTTCTGAATTGAAAGAGGCAAACATTATACAATAGATATAAGCTTATGAAATATCAGTCATTCCAAAGATGACAAGTTCGGACGTAGTTCGCATAGAAAACGACGGCGGCTTAGCACATACTCTTAAAGGCGATAAAGATTTCGGTTATTCGAATTTGTGCAATGTCAAAACACCTATTTTGAAAAAGGATGCTGCAAACAAGGAATACGTGGACCAGATAAGAAATCACGTGAAACAGTCCCTAGCGCGAATCCAGACAGATTTCAAGAGTGCAACTGATGAGTGTTTCAGAATACTCGATGACGAATTCACAAAAGTGAATGATTCCCAGAATACCCAGTTGGTGGAGTTGACCACCGAGGTGCAGAATACAGCTATGCAAATGACACATTTCCTTGAAGAATCGTTTGCCCAAACTAGAAAAAGATGTGAACTCGAATGCAAAGAGCATAGCAGAAGTTTTGAAATCACTCGAAGATAATACTGGAAGTATAAGTACACTGGAGAATGAGCAGCAACAAAGTCACCAGACAGTGATTCAGCTGGCTGATAATGTTGCTCAGATCGGAGATGGCCTCGCAAAGAACGTGTATCAGACCGTTGATTCGAAAACACCAATATCAAGCAAAGTAGTGTCTATGAAAAATACATAAATACAATGTTTGTCTTCAACTGTGTCATTCTATTACTTCCTGACCTCCTATCCCCCATATATATATATATACTATGTCACAATCTCAGGAAAAAATCAAACTTGTCAATGAGCTACATAAACATGCTCGTAAAAACTATCCACATCGACGTACTATCATTGAAGGCATAGATGACTTATGGCAAATGGATCTGGCTGGAATGCGTCAGTATGCAGCACATAAAAATCGGAATTCCAAACTAATAATGGTGGTGATTGATTGTTTTACACGTCACAGTAAAATTGGTTTCAAACCATGTGAAGTAGATGAATCCAACGGAAAGCAAATTCTAAGCAGATCGTTCACTCACTTGAAAATTGCCGGCCCGCGAAAACTCAAACTTGGTGACATTGTTCGCATAAGCAAAGCTGAGCATGTGTTTGAAAAGGATACACCTCAAATTGGACTACTGAACTATTTAAAATCATCAAATATAAAATAACCAATCCTGCCACCTACATGCTGGAAGACATGCAAGGTTCACCAATTAGTGGTGCTTTCTCAAATCTATCTGATTGAAAAGGTACTGAGAAAAAAGGAGAACAAATATACGTCAAATGGTTGGGTTTAGACAATACACACAACAGCTGGATCGAAAACGCTGATTCAGTATAGGATCTTATGGAAAATACGAACAGTTTCACATGTTTGATGGGGTCTTTTGTTGCATGTGAATCAACATCAGATTTATAGCTGGAAAAACAGGAAATCACATCAGTGTCACGTGCGTGATTTCCAACTTTAAATAATCTCAAGAGTCTGAACGGGCATTTCAGTAGAGAGTTCGAAATGTCTAGTGATAGTGGTGATATAAGCAATTGCAGCAGCATTAGTAGTGGTGGAATGGAGTTCGATGATAGCAGTAATAGTAGCGATGATTATCAGCAAACTCTGGAGGCTATTGATGATGCCTTGAACAAGTACGAAAGTGCAGCTCAGCAAGAATTCAATGTTAGAACTAAGTACACAGGAATGATTCGGTATGAAATTGAAGCACAAAGTGAGACTCCTCTCTTGTTGATGGTGTTTCCTATGTCCTGCTATGAAATTCGATGTGGCTTAGTCCTACGAGAGATTTCAGCGCCTGTGTGATCCTAAAACAACGATATTCACCGAAACAAATATCTTTCAACACATACGAGTGGACTTCCATCATAGATATATTGAGAGACGTCAAACAATCCTTCTTCAAACCTACAGTCAGCAGGAACAACAGCAGCTATCCCGATGAGTATGAACCTGTGATGATAAAGTGTGGAGACTTTGTGACATTGCATCAATTCATGGATTGCGGTGTGAAACAAATTTCCATTCGCAAAGATGTCACCGATATGACCTTGAATGAAGAGGATGTCACGGAAATTTTGAGAACATATATTTATAGGTGTGGCATCTGATCGAATTGCCATTTTGAATGCGTTGGCCTTTCATGATTATTACCACAATCTTCTCAACATTGCCACTACATGGCTGTATAAAAATGAATGTACTTTGACACTCACAGAAATCATTACTGGACTCTGTGAAGCATCTGCTCCAAACAGCATTTATGCTGGAGCTCTACGAGCATAATTGTTTTATGATAATTGTAAATATTGTCATGTAATAAAAATCATTGAATACTAATACTGGTTTTGTTCCACATCGAGTCACCATGATAATGGGCTGCCATGTAGAATAAATGAAGCACACACATTCTCTTGAATTCGTTTTTTATTCCATCAAGAAGAAATTGCAATGCAATTCTTTTCCATATTTATAATATCTATAGTGTGAAGACTCTGTAGCTTGATCAAAAGCACAGAGTTTCGTGAATGTTCAACCTCATGAAATTTTTCCTATATTCATATATAAGCAATTATTGTGTGAACACTCTGTAGCTTAATTGAAAGCGCAAAAATTCTTGAATCATTGAAAAAAAACTACATATGGAGCTGCAAAATGAAAATCTATAATGCTGAAGCTTAATTAGAGCGCAAAGTTGCTTGACTATTTTTTTATTTTTTTATGAAATCATCATGACACTACGAGATATTTATTTGAAAACAAAAACTACATGACGCTGAGAAAACGATCATATGAAGAATTCAAAGAAATTAAGTAACATTTTTTTGTTTCTGATGAGAACTAGACATTGGTAAAACACAATCAGCAGAATTTGGGTTCATTATATTTATGAAAATCGTGAATACAGTCATTGCGATCTTTCAGCTCAAACACAACATTGTGAAAACCATTTTGACACCAATTTGACTTGTTGCGGTATAGATCGTGTATTTCATTGCTAGTGATAATTTTATGCTCACTATCAGTGCTGAAATTTAATTCTTTGACTTGAAACTCTTTTATCAACGTGGCGAATAATTCCTCACACGTTTTACAAAACAGATAAATTGAACTCTTCAATTTTATAACATTTTTTCAGTGAAAAATAACAATCCTTGTCGCAAAAAGCCTCTAAATTATAAACATCTAATAGTGCCTTTCAAAAATCTGAAGGAAGGTCGATGTCATAGTAGTATTGATCTGGAAAATCCAGCAGAATCAAGTCGTTGTAAGGCACTGTTTCTTGATTAATTTTGAGCCATTTGAACTCACCACTTTTTCCGTTAATGGTGGGGGTAGGGGGGATCTAAGAATGAACCCGAGTACTGTTCTCATGTTTTCCCATACAGCTTTGATACACATGTCTTGAAGATTCTTCATTTTTTCTGTAATGAAAAATGAACGAAATTAATTCAAACTTTTATGTCCCCACGGCAGAGTGTCAAACGAATTGTCGTTCATAATTTTCCGTTTATCGTCATGTGGACTCAGACCTTTTTCACATTGCTCGATGGATTAAACATCATGGGCGTAGAAACGAATTGTTTTTTGGGTTATAGTCTTTCCTTTTGTTTTGCATCTTTGAAACATTCCACATAATCCTCAAATGTTAATTTATTCTTAACTATGCATTTCTTGACCCCCTTTGACTTTTTATTTATACCGAAATTTTTCAATTCACTATCCAACCGTTCTTTATTGAGCCCTTTCCTCTCCAAACGTTTCCTTTCTTTTTCTATGTCTTCATCAGTTGTTTCTAATTCACAGCTATACATTTCGGCCCGCAACCCTGCGAAATGTGAAATTATCCTACCACATGACTGTGGTAGGATGTTTCATTTTTCCCAATACCTTTTTCATTGACTTGAGTAATTCTATAAACATTCCCCAGAGCATAGTCTGATGATTCGAATTTATCGATATTTTCAGCAATCACTTCCTTATATACATCGTCACATGTAATTTCATAAATGAAACTATCTGTGTCGGTGTACATCAGTGTGGTGTCCTACTAGGCAGTACTAATGCACACACTTGCAAACACTGATTTATTTAATATATAATAATAACACTAACAATGTATTATACTCAATAGCATGTCATATATCGGGCCGTAGTCCGTTCACGACTACCGATTCACATTCCTCGATATCTCATCCCGGTGAATCACCATGTCGCTTATCGACTCGTAGAGGCGCGCTCCCACATTCCGTCCTTTTTTTTCAGTCTCAAAGGTTCTATTTTCTCGAAGGCCTCTTGCTCCGAAATGTTGATGTCTGTGGGTTGTGGTTGTCGAAGCGTGCTCGTTGATGTCGCTGTCTCGCTGCTTGATGTTGTTGGTTCCCCGACTTCTACCCCGGATGCGATATACCTCTAGGTTCTCCGGTTGTGTCAGTCGATACCGGTCGTGGAGTTGTAACTGTTTTTGCCGGAGTCCGTTTCACATGAGAAACGTGCCGCTTTACAGTCTTACCATCTCCAACCAAGGTCACCTCGTTTCCATTCCTCTTTATCACCTCGTATTCTGTATTATTGAATCTGGTTGTGAGTTTATGTGGAATAACCATATTCTGGAGCACTACCTTAGCCCCAGTGCCGATGTTACTCCCTTTTGCTTTCCTCTTACTATCTTCTCTTTCCTTTCCTTTCTGTTTATTCATTATGTCGTTGTCTTGTGCTTCCTGGTCAATATCTTCCTCAACAATGTACGTTATCGATGGAATTTTATCCCGTATTCTCCTATTGAATAGAAGTTCTGATAGAGACTTTCCTGTAGTTCCATGCGGGGTAACGTTGTACATCAGGATAATTTTCTGTATTTCCGATCTGCAGTCTTGTTCATTATTGTGACATATTTGTAATCTCTTCAAGATGGATTTATTCATGTTCTCCACTTCTCCATTCGCTTGGGGGCCAGTAAGGAGATGTGTGGATGAGTTTGATGTTATTAGATTCGAAAAACTGCTGAAATTCTTTACTCGAAAATTGTCTCCTGTTATCGGCTCTTATTGATTTCGGAATCCCCAGGCGGGAAAATAATTCATTCAGGTGTTTGATGATCAAACACGAAGTTGTCGTTCTCAAAAATTTTATCTCTTGGTATCGAGAGTAATGTAAGGAGAGCTCAACGCTTTGAGTAATAGTCGATTATCACCAACACCTGATCTTCGTTAGGTAATGGTCCCATTAGATCGAGTGCTAAGTATTGCCAAGGTCCGTCTGGAAATTTGTTTCTCGTCATCAATGGAGGTTTGTCTGGTTGGCTAACCAGTAAGCAATCTCTACATTGTTTTACGAATTCTTCCACTTGCCTATCGATTAACGGCCACCACACCTTTGCTCTTAGGCGTCTTTTCATAACGTTCACGCCTGGATGGCCTTCGTGTGCTAACTGTAGTACTTGCCGTCGTAGGTCTGTAGGTATCACAATTCTATTGTTCCGAAGTAGCATTGGTCCATGAGTGGTTAATTCTAATCGAAACGGATAGTAAACACTTTCATCAGCTACTACCCAACTATCATCATTTGATTTGTCTATGGCGTACGTCAATTCCTTATCCTGCTTGCTTTCGTTTGTAATTTGTGGAATGGACATCGCCCTAGGGGTGCTACATTCCACCACAGTAAATATATGGTTATCGCTATCTTTGTCAAATGTTCCGGCATCATTCAGTAAGCATAATCTTGAGATACAATCTGCGGTGTTCGATTTCCCCGACTGATAAATAACTTTGAATTTGAAAGCTTGCAGTCGTAGTACCCATCGTTCAATTCGAGCTGGGGGCCTGGATGTGGGTTAGAAAATGGTTTCCAATGGTTTGTGATCGGTGATCAGTTCGAATGTTAGCCCTCTCAGGTAGAAATAGAATCTCTCCACCCCCCAAACCAAAGCCAAAGTCTCTTTCTCCGTTTGAGAGTAGCGTCGTTCTGTTTCAGAGAGACCTTTACTAGCAAATGAGATGACTTTTGGTATCTCCCCATCAAATTGAATAAGCACAGCTCCAAGTGCCACAGGACTGGCATCAGCTATCACCCGTGTTCGTTTCCTTGGATCAAAATACCCCAGCGTCGGTGATTTCGTCAATGCCTGCTTCAGTTTTTCAAAAGCTGCTTGGTGTATTTCCCCCCACCTAAATCTCATGTCTTTCTTGGTCAGCTGTCGAAGTGGTTCTGTTGTTGTTGCCAGGTCTGGTATGAATTTACCTAGATAGGTCACTAGTCCCAAGAAACTACGCACCTCTACTTTGGTATTTGGTGAGCAGAACTGTAGTATTGTTTTCACTTTGTCCTGGTTCGCATCAATACCTTCGTGCGACAATCGATGACCTAGGAAATGTAGTTGTTGAACTTTCCTGGTACATTTGCTCTTATTCAGAAGAACGTTGTTTTCTTGAAAAACTCTCAATACTCCTTCCAAACAGGCATCGTGTTCTTGTTCCGTACTACCATACACGATAATGTCATCTAGATAGTTCAGACAATTTTTGCATTTAGTCAGTACATTTTCAAAAATTCTCTGAAATATATCAGGAGCTGATGTGACTCCAAACATCAGACGTATATAGCGGAACATCCCCTTGTGTGTTATAAAAGTTGTAATCCCGCGACTCTCCTCATCCAATTCTATTTGGTGATATGCCCATTCTAGATCTAGACGAGAAAAATACTTCGCGTTACCGATTTTTGCCATCATTGAATCAAAAGTTGGCAATGGAAAATGTTTTCTCAGTATGGCCTCATTCGCTCTACGCATGTCCACAGAGATTCGAATATCGCCGTTCGACTTATAAGTTATTACAATAGGGGATATCCAAGGGCTATGTTCGTTCACTGGTTCAATATTGTCTCGTTGTAGGGCTTCGTTCAATTTCCTCTCTAGTGATGCCTCTACGGCAATTGGTACGCGTCTTAATGGCTGTTGGACTGGCTTAATAGACTTGTCTATGGATAGTTTGATTTTCATGTTCTTAATTTTGGGGATAGCCTTACTTCCATTACACTGTTCACCCCTAATCCTAGTTTCAGGACTCTTAGTCGCTTGGCTGTATCCTTACCTAAGATTGATACGTCT